TCGGCTGTGCATCGGTTGACAATGGTTTTCTAAGGCTGAAAATTTTCAATGTTGCCATGGTTACACTCAACTACATGCAGTATTTATATAATACAATCTCAAACTTTATATTACTGAGAAAGAACTTCAAGATATCCAAGGATTCAGGATATCGAGCCTCGGTTGACAATAGTTTTCTTGGGGTGAAAATTTTCAATGTTACACTCAACTTCATGCAGTATTTATTATATTATGCTGAATGTTTTTGCGAATACATATAAAAGTGAACCTTGCATGCATAAATTCTGCGCAGTCACTATTTTTGGAATATCACCCGTCATGAAGCATTGTTGACTGTTGCTATGCCGGAGGGCATGACTTCATCATTCGGTGGGTAATAGTGTTTTTTAACAAATGTTTCTCGGCGAATCAGATTCAACTATATAGCAGCAGAAATAATCTGAAAACTGAAAGCCAACCAAAATGTTAGTCTAAAAATGTTGATTTATTTTGCTCCCATCCTTTTGCATAAAGAAAGCTTGAAAATTCTTTCCATTTAACTCACATTTATCTTTTTTAATTACTAATAGTATGCGCAGTGGTTATAGCATTTGCTCTGGAGTCGCAGCTTACATTGCGGATTCGAATCTCATTGCAGGACATGGGGACAGGTCCTTTGGATGACAGTATATACCGAGCTTCTGTTTCATAGTATGCGCTGGCATGAAAAAGATCCATAATTGCTTATGGGTGCACAGGTCTAAATTTTTGGCCCTCCACCGGCAAGTGGTGGCATCTCAGTATGAGAGAAAAATTTTCAAAGGGATGGTAAACAAGCAAGCAATTATTTTAATTACTTGTTCTTTAATATTAAGCAAATATGAAAGAATTTTATTTTTTCTCTTGAATATTTTGCAATTGTATCAGAGCTTGAATACTGTTCGTTATCTCCATATATTTCGTCAAACTCTTTCTTTCACATAAACTTAACTTTCGGGAAGTTCTGGTAAAGTCAAATTACTGGTATATAAAATATGAGATTATATGATGAAATAATTTCATTAGAGATGATGAAATAATCTCATTAGATAAGGCAACATTATTTAAAATAAATTGTTTAAAACAGATAAAAAACACTAAAAAAAAAAAAAAACAAACAAACAGATAAAAGAACACTAAAACAAATTCACTTGTTTTAAGTAAAATATTTACATATGTTTATTTACTAAACATATTTTTTTAGGAAAAGGTAAGTCCACTTTTATCATTCTTGATCAGGAAATTCGGATTATCCCACATTCTACTTTTACAACCAGTAACTCACAATGACTTTTTTCAATATCCTAATTTTAAGTGCACAAAAGACAAACTTAGGGCCTATAATTTATTAATTTATCTGTTTGCAATCGCATTGCCTTTGACAAACTACTTTAAAATGTCGGAGTTTCGAGGAAATTCAGTCAATATTAATAAATGTTATGTAACATATAAAACTGATTTTAAAGTTTAAAATAATAATTACATTAAAGACGGTACGTTATTTTAAAGTTAATTATTTCAATTAATAGAGAAAATATCCTTAGAAGAAGTGCAACTTTATTCACGTTCTTAACTGAATGTCATTTCTAACAAAATAATCTGTTAAAATCATGTTATAATTTTTTTTATCAGTACTCTGGTCTTTAAGCGACTAAATAATAATAAAACATATCAAAAACAGTTAATTCGGATTTTGTACTATGTAAAAATTGTCAAAATATGTTGTTAATAACTTACTTTTACTGTTGATGTCCATTTTCACGGAAGTTACTCGTGCGCATGCGCAAAAAATCCATCAGGGGAATGTGTGTAAACGCCATGATGCAGCATGAAAATGTGTGTGGAAAAAATCACGTTCAGACCGGAAACTCACACTATGAACAATTTTGTATTTTCTGGGTAATATACGGTGCGAAATTCCGTTTTCAACACTTTAGAAAACTCACTACATGAGTGTAAGTGGTGACTCTTCAAAATGTAGTGACTTGCTGGTGTGTTACCTAGTGCGTGTAGTGAGTATCGGGGTCTTACAAACACACACACACACACACACACACACACACACACAAAAGACAAACAAACAAAGAAATGTGTCAGTATATTTGTAATCCGAGGTATATCTCGAGGATGACTTCTGCTTACACTTGTATTACTGTCTACATGTATATATCACAATGTAAAATTCACTGTTTCAGAAAAACTTCATTTTGACTTGAATTTTCATTTTCTTACTTATGTCATATTTTATTTCTCACAATATCTTTAACGAAGCTAAATGTAATTGTTTAATTTTTGTACTCTTTTTCATTACAAAGAGACAGAATGCTATGTTCAAGAACTGTTTATATCTGTTATAACAACATTAATGAATTATCTGTTTTTCAACTCTAAAAATCAAAGATTCATTTAGTTTATTTAATTAATCAAAACCTTTGAATCTTTCATTCATTTTCTTAATGTAAACACCTGTCATTTATTTTGTGTAGATTCTTATAAATTGTCATGTTTTTTTTTCAATCTTTAGTCTGGAATAAACGATGGCCACTTTCCACATCCAACTCGCCAGGATTCTGAATTCAGAGGCCACTTCGGCCAGATCCAATTCGATCACGTTTTACATGTTTCTTTATTGTTTTATGTAGACTGTTACTCATCTAATAAATACAGAATCCTTCATCATTCGTTTTATCTCTGGAATTGCATATTGGTTGACCTTCAGGAATACGTCATAAATTACAAGGCCGTTTATTAACCCCTTCTATCATACACTTAGTATTCTGATTTATCAAATCTTAAAAATCAATTAAAAAAATTGCATTCAGTGCATTTTATTTTAATTAGATACATATTTAATACGATATTATAATATAAGGTTTCATTCAGTGATACATGTAAAAATTCAAATAACAGGCAAAAGAGGATTTTCAAAGAATTTTGCACAATGCAAAATACCAAAACTTCCAAGTACTCTATTATTATTATTATTCAATTTCAAATGAAATTTACTTTGCATTCCAAAAATTTTCATAGACCAGAGATTGTCAATGTGGTGTACAATGTAAGCATGAAACAAGGGTTAGCATGTATAGTTCTTTACTTAAAATCTCCACACTTCATTTTCAAAATTCACGTTAAGCACATCAAAGATGCCTGAAGATAGGGTCCTCTGAGGTCTATAACAAGGGTGGACCTATCCTCTGACACATATGATTGAGCATATTAATCTTGATGGATGAGAGAGAGACAGTCAATTCTTACGGAAGCATGCCACGCCAGTACATGACGGGGATGACATCAGCCTTCAGGTGGTACGTGGTCCATCTCTCCTTGCCCTAGGCCTGGTCAATGGGGAAAGTTTCCAGGGGATTATCATCATAGTCAAACTCCGCCAGGATGCAGCAGCCCTTACGTGTGATCAGAGGACGAAATACGTACTAACCGTCATACTGAAAGACAATGCTTCAAATAAGAAGAGCATATATATTGTAGATTCCTTATTATACGCGAGTACTTAATATCACAAAATTGCCCCCAAGACGTCAAATCGCGAGAACATTAATTCGCGAGTGGATGATTATTCTACAGATATTACATACATTTGATTAAGCGCCATAAATTAATATAAAAGCGAGTTATTTTATTTTTTGTGATTGGCGCTAAAAATCTCGAGAAATTACGCGATAATTTATTCCTAGCGTACATTTAGAAATCTACTGTATGTCGTAACAAAACTTAGGTTGAAACACTGTTGTAGGACAAGATTCAAACGTGTTGTAAGAGCAAGTTCATATTTAAACTTTTTTCCTGAGTTATTAAATTATTATTTTTTTTTAAACTTGGGGCTTGCAATGATGAGATTGAAAAGCAAAGAAATTAGTAACTTGATCAAGGTGGCATTTAGAAACCTAAATATTTCAAATGTTTGCAAATGATTATATAACCTCTGTCTATCAGGTACACATAGCTGTTTCTATTGCTTATGCTAATTATTTTCATGATATAAATTTTGTAACATACTGAATGAAGAAAATTGGGGGGCAGTTTCACCTTCTTCTGCACTGGTGTTCCATCCATTAAGCCAGTCCCGGAATTACACAGAAAATCGAGAGAGAACAAGTTTGGCGCGGTTTCTGAATTCTCTAGATTTTCCGTGTAATTCCGGGACGCCTCTATATTTTACATAGGTAGAGATGGAAAGCAACAAATTACGAGAATTACGTATAAGCTATAAATTTTTCTACTCACCAGTAAGATAATGAAAACTTGCAGATATTCAAAATCATGTCATCCAAAAGAATCTCTTTCGCCAGTTTTGCAAAAACTATACGCATCTTCTTACATTTATAGAAGATGAATATACATTTTCACATTTAATATCGTATTATGTTTGCTAATCATCGTTGATGGCTTCATTTTTTTTTTTAATTCTCTGATACGCTCCACATTCCCTTCCCTTAATTCACTGCCTCCCCTCAGTGGCCTCTTCCTCCTCAGTTTCTTCCCCCGATTCCTCCAACATCATCATGGACGTGACTACACCCTGGTCCATATCCCAGGGGCGGATCCTAGATCGTTTAACATTTGCATAAGCGGGAGTCTGTGTGTATGAACAGCAGGGCTGGGAAAATTAAATACGTTTTAAATTTTATAAAACTTGATTAACAAGGAATTAATTAAAGTGTAAAAATATGATAATGTAAATGATCCAGATCATGCTAAAATTACTCCCCTCACCCCCCCCCCCCCCAAAAAAAAAAAGAGGAAAGAAAGAAAATGCATCCGGATATCTTGCAAAACAACACAAACAAACAAAGAAATACATGGATATATATATAGGTGTAGTTGTCTTATTTAATTCTTTTTAATTTTATTTCATTTTTTTAAATTTTGTTTCCATCGTGAAAACCCATTGTTTGTAGATCTAACTCTGTGATTATGACGCTTTTTCTTTTGTTAGTTATTTGTCTTTTGTTTGTTTGTTATTATATAGAACTCACTTCTTGTCCTTCCCTCTCCTGAGTTGGCTGTTGACGTCCACGTCTACCACTCGCGTTGGCTGGAGCAGATTTAGCGCGGGGCTTTTTTGGCCTGCTGTCTGCTCTTTCGACTGTGTCCGTAAATCTCTTCATCCATTTTTGGACAGACTTCCATTTATACGCCAGCTCCAAGTTTCGATCTTTTTTGGGAGTCTTGGGTCGGGACGATTTGGGTCGGGGTTTTCTTGGAGAGGAAATATGCCCTTGTGCACACCTAGCCTGATGAGGTTGATGTAAATACAACAAAGAAAAATAAGAGTTTGCTCGCAATATGTTTAATCGAACCCCCCCCCCCCAACCTAAAAAAAATTACTACTTTCCAAATTCTTTAAAGATTTCAATGCAAAAAAGTTTCTTCCCAAAATTTATTAAAAAGGGGGCTTTTTTAATTATGGGCAAAAACATCAGCGAAGATGAGAAAGGGTGGGGGGGGGGGGGGGGGTCCGGTGGGCACCAACCGATAGGTGCCTTTGTGTATATTGCATGTAGTAGATTTAGTGGACTTCATAAAATACTATAGGTTTCTTTATTATATAGATTCCTTTCACAAGGTAAATCAGCATTAAATAATAATTTTAATATCTATTTTGTAAGTCATTTAACCTTTTTACCTGTTTGCTTTTCTTTTCCTTCTGAACTTTGGAAGCATGGACCCTGGACTCTTTACTGCAGGAGTGACCGGAGGTAGGCAAGGTAGAACTAATCCGAGGCTGCGCAGTGCGAGGCCTTGTTCCAGTGGTGGTACGCGCTTTTTTGCAGGGAGCTGGAGCAGTTCTTTCTTGGATCTCGTGCTCCTCGCCGGATTGACTTTCCAGGTTGGAACAACTTGGAAGGACAACAACAATATCCCTTCTCTCTTTGTCTTCTTCTGGGGCTACAGAAAAAGATACAATTTCTTCCAATTCCACAGAGAAAGATACTGTTTTGGGATTCTTCGTCTTCTCTTTGGCTGCTTTGAATTCTGATTTTTCTTGCGACATTGATGAACGGTCCTTTTCTTGGTCGCTATGGTCACTGGATGTTCGGGAGAGCGACTCTCCATCAGTGTCCTCCTGCCCGAAGTCTTGTAAATCCGGTTGTGTAACACCCTTAATACTTGAATCGGTGGAAGTACAAGGCTGCTCTAATTCTTCCATTTCCAGGCAATCGTGGTCTCTGGGCGAGCTGTCGTTCTCTCCCTGCCGTGTCTCCTTGCTTGGCTCAGCCAGTTCTCTTCCAATCTCCGGCGGGTCCTGGAAGGAGTTATAGGGGGAATCATCAGATGTTTGAATATTTAGAGGCTGGATCCTTGTCTTACGAAATAAATTTGCAATGCGGCGGATGCCTCGAGGAGGGCCTCTTCTTGCATTTTTAATTCCGTTTCTTTCCTCTGGGGAAGCGCATTTCGATTTAATACACCCCATTTTAACTGCTCTTTTTGTGCGTCAAGATAACGCAAACAAAAGTAATCACAATGGCTACAGTACCATGACATCACAGTAACAATTGTGACGTCATAATAGCCAATGAACTTTTACTTGCAATTGTCTGTATGCATATCCTGACGTCACAACTTTATATATCCTTTTTGCTCTCACCTAAGTGATAGTAATGTTTTCTTTAAAAACTTGAAAAAAGTGACAGCCAAAGAATAAAAACGCATAATTATTTTGTATAAATTGTCCATTTAAAAAAATTATACGGATTTTTTAAATTAATTTGCCAAAATTCAGTTAATAAAGTACATGTACATTATACATGTGTTTTTTTTTTTTTTTTTTTTTTAATTTGTAGAAATTCGAAACGCTCCGTATTTGAAATGGTATTCGAAATAAGTAAAATAACGCTTTTAATAGTTTCTGTGTATATTTATTATATAAGCTAACTGTAACATTGGCACTTGTCAACATGCCGATCCAGAATTTTTTTTCGGGGGTGAAGGGGGGGGGGGGTAATTCTATTCCCACTAAAGAAACCCAATACAGATTTTTTTTTTGACAAGCAAGCAAAGAAAACAAAACAACTTGTCTAAACCCCCCAAAACTGTAAAATCTATTTAGGGAGTAGGTGGGACAGGAACAAGTTACCTTTCTTCATTTAATTATCATATATCTAAATAATTCCTCTTACGAATCACCAGGGGTCTGTGTTTTTTAGGGGGGGGGGATTTCCACGCTCATCTTTTTCTTTCTTTCACAATAAAAATTTGAAAACCCAGGGCATCCCATGCTAGATCCGCACATGTGTCAATTAATTCAGTAGTTGGATGGCAGGGAAAAATATAATCATACATGTAATTCAGACATGTATGGATCTTATTTACCGTGTGAAGTGTAACCCACTAACTTTTGAACTCTTCAACCGCTGCACTCTCCCGTGGTTGGTTTTCATATTTGTTATCCTCACAACGTCAGGGTCATGAATCCACTCAAAGAAGTATTGTTTTCTTTGTTAAACGTCCCTTTCG